GGGGAAGAGCCCACCCGCTTCCCGTAAAAGCTCGGGATAAGCATTGGAGTGGCCGTTCCCCTGTTTTTCGCTCTACCCCGAGCAAAGTCTAAAGGGCCGTTCCGGCGTTGTTTGCATAAGCGCTGAAGTTGAACCGCAGGCAGCGGTAACGAAGGGCTTCTGGGAGGAGAAACCTGCCCCTCGCTGCCTTTAAGCTTTCGGTGCCGGTGCGTTGACAAGCCGCCGGGCTTGGTTTTCTCCCGGTGGTGAAATCAGGGAAAGTCCGTTTCCCTTCTGAGATTTCCAGCAAATGGGGAAAACTTGCTGCTTCATCCGGCTTCACGCACGCAATGCCGCGAGAGAGGCGCTGCCGGCGACGGCTGGGGCCGAACTCTGCCGGCGACTTCTGCCTCTTTGACTTTTCACGTCGTCACCTTGCGAAAGGCGAATGCCCCGCTCGGGCTTGGGGAACTGGGTGTTGTTCCCTTCCGCCATGGCCCGGCCCCGCCAGCTCTCCAGACACGGTGCTGGGCGATGTGGCCGGCTTCCGCTGTGGAAGTGACATCTCCTGTGCCGCCTGTTGCTGGAGCGGGTGTCGCAGGGTTTGGTGGTTGCAGCTGCAACTGCGGAACCCGCGAAAAGCTGATGTCAGATGACTTTTTCTAAAATGAGTAGAAGTTAGAATTAGCCATTGCGGTGTGATTAAACCCGGTCAAGGATTTGCCTTCAGCCTGGGGGAGTCTCTCCTCGTCTTCTAACCCTCGAGTCTCAAGTGGTGCTTGCTCCCAGGCGTGGAGCAGCGGCTTTGCTTGGTGGAGGGGCGTTGTGCGGCCGTTGGCGTGAGTCCTAAACGGCTACACCAGCACGTACCATGGCTACGAGCTCTCTCCCCCGATGGAGTCTGCTGTGGGTGGCAAAGCTGCTCAGAGGGCTCCATCCCTCTGGGAGCAGCCTGGCCGGACCGCAGCCAGTGTGCTTCTCCTAGAGTCCGGCCTGCCGGGACCTGGGGTGAGCTGCGCCCTCCTGTCGTACCCGGGATTGCCTCCAGATGCTCAGAGCACTTCAGACTTGGAATTGGAAAGGACAGGCGTTAATGTTTCTCTAAAAACCTACTTGAAACTTGTCCTCTTTCTCCGCGGCGGTGCTGGAGGGTGAGCGGCAGCGGTGCTGGAAGCCTACATAACTGCTGTTCCCCTGCGTCAGTTCTGTGCTGCAGCCCTCCTTTTAGTGCCGGTTTAGATTTGTGGAGCTGGCATTAAGGCTGCCGGTGGTAAGGCAAAGTTTAGGGGCAGCGAGGCTTAGAGATGGGGGGTCGTGCTCTCCTGGTGGCTCGGCTGCCTGCTCAGGCTGCAGAGCATCCTCTGTAAAAGCCACGGGACAGCAACACCTCTCCTGAACATCACCGAATGCCAAAGGAGGCGAGAATGTGCATTAAAACTGTTCTTTGCTGGGGGTGAAGGCCACCCGAGTGTATCGCTTCTGTGCTTATTGTGGAGGCTGTGGTGGGCGGGGGAACATCTGGCCCTGCTGGATCCTCCTTGGCTCCTGGGAGCCTGGGTATTCCTGGGGGGAAGAGGCTCTGAAGTCACGCTGGCTGTCAGTTCATCTCCACGTATCTATAGTGGCATCCCTGGTATTTACACATGGCTATTCCAAGTGCCGGGGAGGGCTGGCCAGCTTGGAGCGGTCTGTTAATGACCTCTAATGGGGCAGTAGCTCAACCGAAAGGCTGTAACTTTTAAGATGCCTGAAGAACGTGGGACTCGGCCGTTGGTCTGTCTGTCCTTACAGCGTCTGAAAGCTGGGAGAGGGGAACGTGGTCCTGGGCGGGCAGGAGGGTGTTGGTACAGGTGCAGTAAGCAGCCCCCTCTGGCTGTTAGCGATGAGCTCTGGAGGAACTCTCGTAACTAGAGGGAAAACGAACAAATATGTTGCTCTGAGCAACTGAAACCAGGCAAATTGGCCTGGGCTGAGTCATCCTCTCGTAGAGCCACGGAGGTGTTTGTGCACCGGGGTGTGGTACCTGCGGGGAGGTGGCACAAGGGCTTGGCCTTGGCTCTTGCCGTCTCCTTGCAGGAACGCAGACCGAGCCGGTAGCTGCAGCGGTGGAAATCACTTTTTTAAAAGCTTAAGGGTGGAAATCATAGCAACAACCGCCAGCTGATCTCCCCGGGTTTGCTCACAGCGTAGTAAATGTGTGCCTGGCTCCAAGTCCTGGGTGCCAGGCTTGCGGACTGTAATCTGCTTGGCATCATGAGCTGCTAACCTGGCTTCCCGGCTTGTCCTTTCCCTGCCGTTGCAGGGTGATGCTGGGCGGTTTGTGCTGTGCGTGGGGTCTTGCTGAGGCTGGGGGGGCAACCCCAGGGTGCAGGACTGCCTTACCTCCCATGGATAAAGGCGCTGCTTCGGGCTGTGCTTTCCCTGTTGCACTGCCCCAGCTAAGCTGCCTGCGTGCTTTCCTTTCCATTCTGGGGTGCCTGGCTGCTCCCTGGGAGGATCACGCCGGCCCCCGCGAGTCCCGATGGCTGCGGCTGCCAGAGGGAGCACAAAGTCACTTGGTGACTGGCAGGGCAGCAGCCTTGGAGGAAGAACTTCTTGACTTTGAGGGTGCCCGAGCCCTGGCCCAGGCTGCCCAGGGGGGCTGTGGAGTCTCCTTCTCTGGAGATATTCAACCCCCACCTGGACGCTGTCCTGTGCCCCCTGCTCTGGGTGAGCCTGCTTGAGCAGGGGGGTGGCACTGGGTGATCCCCAAAGGGCCCTGCCAGCCCTGGCCATGCTGGGATTCTGTAATTGCTTGGTAGCAGCTCTGAGCTGTTCTCCAGCCTAGAAAACTGTTCAAGGCCAGTGAAATGCCAAGTGGGAACAACTTGAGTAGCCCTGAAAAC